GGAGACTGTTAGACCTAGAACATGAAAAACATGAAAACTAGAAAGTCTGATCCAAGATCCAGGATCACTGTGTTCTGATCAAAAAACGCAGCATTATATGCTTTGATGAATTTTATATTTTATTGCAGCATTTCCCTGGCAAAGCAAAAAATATGATTTTATGATTTTATATAGCTTTCTTCTTACATGACATTAGACAATTGTTTTACAGTAATTCAATACAGTTTGTGGCTGCCTCCAGACAGCTGAGTAATGGCCAAAGCATCAACAGCTGGCAAATGATTCTTTGGGATTTTTTTCATCCCCAAGCAGACTATTCTTTGAAGGATTCAATCAGCATAAAGTCAAAATGTCAAAGAAAGAAGCAGGTAAACTGTGACAAACTGTGATGTTGGCCTTAGGTAATCTGACTAGCTATTAATTCACAAAGCAGTCTGAAGAGATTTGTGATGCAAGCTGAATTCTGTCTAGACAGGGAGAGGAGTGTAAAACACATTAGCCAGATAGAACATAACAGTGACAAGAAAAAGCTGTTCTACAGTCTTTCAGCTGTATTAATTCATGGAGTATCTCTTCTTTAAAATTATTACTACTGATCTAGTCAGTAGAGCTCACTGGATTTGCCTTGTAAGATTTTTAGTAACACTTGGACAAAAGCTGACAGCTACTAAAGCTGTTCTACAACATATTAGGACAAATATAGCATCTCACTGGAAAGTAGTTAAATGAATTTCTGAAACTCAGTGCAGCTCAAATGTGAGTGTAACACTGGCACCATAGTGGCCAGTGTTCTTATACTCAGTCTTTGTTAATGTGTTCACTGTCTGCATTCAGCAGTTGCTGAAATCCCTGTTTGCTCACAAGCCACTTCTTTTACATGTATTATCTTACCTCTTTTCCTAGGATCTGCATTGCAACATACAGCAACACCATGTATTGATGGTCTTTCTGGAACCAACTTAATTGTTCATTGTAAAGATGCTGTACTATTTCTAATGGCAATCCAAGAGTTGTTATTTCAATCTAAAATTTTCTCCACAGATTGGACAAAATTATTTTTTTTCCTGTTTTGACAAGTCCTACTGTATTGAGACTTATTTTTGTAAGAACATAGGAATGTAAGAATATAAGGAGCACCATGCTGGGTCAGAACAATGGTCCATCTAGCCCAGTATCCAGTTTCTGACAATGGCAGGACTGGATGCTTTAGAGCGAGAACATATGAACAGAGCAGAGATATTTAACTGGTGGCCCATGGGTTGCAAGCAGCTTGTAAGTGGTTAAGATACGGCCTGTGAGCTCTTGCCCGGCTGCCACTCTGCCCACTGCTCTTGCTGCTGTGGTGCCTGGAGTCCCTGGGCTCCCCCTCCCTCCTATGGCTTCTGATTCCTGTCTGTGCTTCTGGGAGCAGGGTGATACAACAGTAGAGGGCCAGGCTGCCCATGCTGTGCAGGAGGCAGGGGAGGAACCTGGGCTGTGGGTGCTGCATGATGCACAAAGGAGAGAGCCAAGCTGCTCATGTATTTGTGTATTGTGCATGTCTGGGAGGTCAAGGGTGCTAAATGCACGGTGGGGGGAATTCAGACTCCCTGTGTTGCAGGGCAGGGGGCAGGGAGGAGAGGCTGGGCTGTGCACATGGCAAGGGGGAGCTGGACTGTGTGCACAGCAAGGGAGGGAGACCAGAGGGGCAGCCTCCACTATGTGCATCCCCTAGGTCTGTGACGAGCCCCCTAGCACTGGGAAATTGGACATCCCTGATCTAAAGGGGTCTGTCCAAATCCTCTTCTATCAGTTAGGTATCTAAATAGCAACTTGGCAGCATTTAAGCCAATATGTATATGATTTAGGAACAAGATAAGTCTCTGAACACATGGACTGATTCTTTAGTGCAACCTTGCTCCCCTAAGAAGGCAGGAAGGATGCCATATTTATCCTCTGGTACTAGTTTGTGAGTTTGCCAGAGTTGGGAGAAAGATGCAAGTGACCCAAGCAAGTAACAGTAAAGTACAGGGGTCTTCAACCCCTGGGGCCACAGCCCAGAACTGGCCCGTGGAACCATGTTATCTAGCCCACAGAGCTTCCCATAGGTCCAAAAAATTGGAGGTGGTGCAGAGCCAGGCTGAGGTGCCACAGGACCCAATCTGGCTGCATGGGGAGTAATCCAGTTACGCAGGCTGCATGGGGCCTGATCCAGACTCATGGAGTCCAATGCAGGTGCTGATCTTGCACAGGATGCAGCCCACAGACTGGCCCAGAACCACTAATCCAGTCCATGGGGACAAAAGTTTGAGCACCACTGGCACAGTATAAGCAAGAGAGCTTGGAAAGGGATTGGGTCTCTTCAGTCAGAATCACTCTTATTGTTTATACATTTCATTTACCACCACTATTAGTAGAACCCCCCATCCCACTTCCTAGCTCTGCCCTTGATTTTAGCTGGCACCACCATCACCATTGTTAAGCTCTGCCACAGATCTCAAAGCACTTAACCTTAAAGAAGGTTAATAGCTATAAATTGGGAAGCTGAGGCACCAGAAAGGCAACTTACATCATCGAATAAGAAAGACTAGAGCCAAAAATTGAGCCCAGGCCTCCTGAATCCCAGTGTTCAATTCAGTAGGACACACTGCCTTCTAAATATAAAATACTTAGCTCATAGGAACATACATCTTCATTGGGCAGGTAAAGGTTGCTAAAATAGCTAAAGACTTAAAGCACATAGGCTTGATAAAATGGTTTTAACTAGAAACGAAAAAAGCAAAGGGGAGAGTTACTGGTAAAGTACATACTGCCTAAACTCTTCTTCTCTTAAGTTTTACTCATTTCAGAAACTTTCCAACTTGCTGAAGAAGAAATGGGATAAAAGTCATAGTAGGAGACACAAGCCAGGTAATTTGGTAGTCGAGAAATTGCTGTTAATATTGATATAGACACTAGATAAGGGTACTGTTTTCACAGTGTCTGGTGGGTTAGATGTGGAAAAACAGAACATAAACTGTTCCTGACTTGAAGAGAAAATTAATTCATTTTTTCCAAAGGATCTAATTTCTCTGGTCTGCTTTGTTTCATAATGTCTAAAAAGCAGTAACTTGGGCAGACTCAATTTACTAAGTAGCAAGCCATCTATTATGGAGAAAACTTTCAAGAGTGATGTAGAAATTTAGGAGTACAAATCTTTTGCACTCACCAAATTTCAACAGGATTTGCATTTCTAAATCCTTTTTGAAAAGCCATTTTTGAAATTTTTCCTATTATGAGCCCAAATAGCTAAATATCAGTCATATTCTACAACAAAAGTATATGCCACATTACTCCCTAGATATCCAAAGGCTTCAAATATTCTGAAACAAACTGGGTACTGTAATTTATAATCCTAAACCAGGGACATTAGTTAAAGATTACATACTAGGGTGGCCTATATTTGTTGTTATGTAGTTGTATTTGTAATCCTTTAAAGTCACGGTGTGAAATGTATGGCTGTGTCATCTGGCCTATGGGGCTTGTTGAGGGGTAAGGCAAGTGGGAGCAGGGTTCACCACCAAAGTCTGGGGCACACAGCTTCACTGGGGTCGCATATCAGTGTCAGGAGAGCATGAGACATGGCTGAGGTAATCCCTGCTGCTGTTGCTTGCCCCACTACTACATCCAGTTCTGGACCACGAGGATTCCCATGGTCCAGATCCAACTTAGAGGGTAGGGTGAGTTTGACACCCTGGTCTAGAGGGACTGGTCTGATGAAACATGCTGAATTCCAACATTCTTTTAATTCCATTGTGTCTCGTGATCCACATTTCAGGCCTCTTTAAATCAAGGCATGCAGAAGAACCATAGAAAATGAGTATACTTATTTTACGATGCCATCTGTCACTCAAATAAGTGGTGGGGTTGTATGTTGTAATTGTACACACTCCCTTTTTCTACCCTCATAATTAATAGTATTTTTCTGGTCCAAAAAAAAAAAAGAGAGAATTAAAAAAAAGAAAATACCATAGGCAAGTGTTCTGCTGAAGAATAAGATAGACTGGTGAAAAAGTGAGAAAAAGAACACAATTACCTCTCCATTTCCTTTCCCTTCTGCGAAAGGCCTAGTGAGAGAAGACTGTACCCATCCCTGTGTAAGCCCTCACTCTTTCAGAAAACCCACTTCTTTTCTGTCTTACTTGTTACTCACTAACCCATCTTCTGCTCTTCTGGTTTAACTTAGGAAAGCAGTAGCAGCAAGAAGCACATGAAAACACCCTATACTCTGCTTGGTGATACTGAATAGAAGTAGACTTGCTCTGCAACCTCTCTCAAGACCAATACACTGTAGTCTCTAAGGGTTGAAAAATATCCAGTCACACCAGAAGCACCACCATAGACAGTAGGTGACCATACATACTGAACTACATTTCACTATATAAGCACTAAATGAACCACACTTCACTACAAAGTTGTGATATTAGTGGTAGCGTTTAGTTTAAAAGGATGAAAAGAGGCAGTAAAGAAAAAAAATGTACACAGAAGTGTTTGTGCCTAATGAGTTCTAAGAACTTTACCTTGTGAATATGCTTTAAAGTTTCACTGGAATGAGGAATGCTTTTGTGAGCCAACTCTGCTTACATTTAGGACAGCTCACAGCTGACAAGCTCAATTGGGGAAACTAGCATTTAGCGGTCTAGTATTACAAAACTATGCCAGTAGAATTTGGGTGATGGAATTTTGTGGGAGCGGTTTTTTCCTCATTAGCTTGCAAATTGCTCATGTTTTGAGAATAACACTGGCTTAAGGATTTAGTCAGTGAGGCCCTCCACATTGGTCTGAATGGAATTTACTGTTTAACTAATAAAAGAATTGATGTCTAGTACAGTGCAGAGGATGAAGCCTGTGATAAAGAATAGGTTGTCTTTAAGGGAGTTTCATATTACCAATACTTTGCAGAAACATTGTTCTATTTATGGCTTCAGTGCAAACACAGAGAGCTAGTGAATCAAAAGATTATTTTTTCATACATCTCTTACCAGGTTCTGCTGCAGATCGCGGCTCTGCTTATCACATCATGCAGGGGGGAAATAAACAAGAAAAATGCATTAGAAAAAGGTTATGTTAATAAGAAAAGAAGTTTAATTTTGAAATACTGCAGGAAATATACTGTCTCTGGTGATGGTATCACCAGAAAAAAAAAAACGTCAAGATGTCCATGCTGTCTGTATTCTACAGTTATTCTCTTTGGTCTTCATTACGATAACTCAAATGAGTAGATAAGAGATTTTCTTTACTTAACATTCAATTCTGATGGTGGAAAATGATAACTTTCCCTGGCTGAGTTCAGTTCCATGCTGTTTTTTGGATAGTACCAATATTAACTTTGGACTTGCAAGGGGTCTGTGTCTTACTTTTCTGGAGAATTCTGAAATCTGGAGAATCTTGGATTTCCATGTCTTGCCGAAACCACTTGACATGCACAGGAGGTGTTCCCCTGACTCTACACTCTAGTACAACCACCTGCCCTTCAGATGCTGTGGAGTTTTGCAGCTCCTGGAATATGATAAATATGATTTAAATTAACCAAAGACACTTCCCCCACCTCCCATACTTCAAAAACAGTCATATCAAACTTCCCTTCCTCACCCATTCCCACTTTATTTTGTTGAGTCTTAGCAGTTTGGTAATTTTCTTTTTCTGCATACTGTTTTCTCATTCAGAAGGTGCTTAAATACAGTGGTTATGTTATTTTAAATACATTTTTCATGTTGCTAGAGTGGATGAAGTGCACCACTGGTTACAGAAAGGCGTTCCTCTGAAATCATCATCCAACTTAACTTCTCTCAGCACTGACAGAAGTAAATGCTCCTGGATGATCTTCTAGTTTTTACTTCAGGTGTGAAATGAAGGGATTGGAGCCAGCCTATACTTTTTAAGGAGATGGTTTTATATATTGGCTAAGTTGGTCATTTTGGAGTAATTATACTACTTTCAGGTAGACAGCTAGAATGTGAAAATGTTATTCTGGAACATGTGAAGCAGTCGAAGCAGGATGAGAGTGCAAACATGGTTATTCAATATGTGTGTGTGCAGCCAAGTCAGAAGATAAAGTACAGCCTGCAAGATTACAATGGAATAGAAATAATGTGTGCACTTGAACTGCTACATATTGGGTGCATCTACACATCCAATTAGCAGTCTGAGCTGGGGCAGAGTAGCCGCAGGTTGGCAGCAGGCTCAGGGGGTCATCCCTGCACTCTGGGTCATGGCATTGGGTGGCTGGGGGCAGGGGGGAAGAGAGAGGGGGCCTGGCTGGGGCACAAGAGCGCTCAAAGAGCAGAGCCATATGGTGAGGTGGCAGGCAGGGGTCTGGCCTCTAGCTGCTTGGGCTGACTGAGCACAACTTACGCCTGGGTCAGTGTTTACAGATGTGTTTAGGCGCAAGTTATTTTCACTGCCATAAGACAGTACTGTTCCCGACGGTACTACTTTATGGTGGTGAAAATTAGTTGCTGTGGTCTAATAGTGTTGCATGTGTAAACTGTGATGCTTTACACCACAGCAAGTTAATCTACTGCACAGTTAAGTGCATGTGTAGATGCACCCAATGAAGATGAAACCTCAGGCTTAAGGAAGAGGTGAGTAGGAAGATTACAATTACCATGTATAGTTCTCTGTTGCCCATATTAAGATTATGGAGCAAAATAAGAGAGTAATTTTTTGCTGTCTGTCTCTCTGCTTCAGTCCTTTATTTTACTTGTGGAAAGTAGGGCAGGGTAGCATCTTAGAGAACTTATTCAGAGAAGCTTTTGTAGGTGATAACTTGCTTTGTCAGCTGCTATGAAGCTTCTGAAATCATCAAACAGGAACCCGTGGAAAATAGTTAACTCCTCACTATTAGAGGATTAGAGCCAGCTTATATTTTTCAAGAATTAGGTCTTATATATGGGTTATGCGGTAGTCATGCTGGAGTAATTATACTGTTTTCAAATTGGAATCTAGATTGGGAAATAGTCATAGAATATGATATAATAGGCTGTCACCTATCAAACTTTATGCCTCTCTGAACTAATCTCTAATGCCACCCTGTCTTGCCTTCTGCCTGACTTCAGACTAATATGACTAACTACTTCTCTCTTTTTCTGTAAAAGTTATGCTTTTAGAATGGATCCTGATCCAGGAAAGCACTTAGGCTTAAAAGTATGGAAGGAGTCTTTCCATTGAATACTCACACACTTAAAGATATTTAAAGGTATTAAGACTGAAGTTTAAAACTTGAGTTGGCAATTCATTGCTGTAGTTTGTATAAAAGAGGGGGGAAAGCATAAGCAAACTCATGCTAGGGGAAGGATGGATAGATAGTACAGGTTACTTATTGCTGAAAGCTGTTTTGGAAAGCAAAGAGACTTCTTCATATAGCTGCTATGTTGGCTTATTTACTTCTACCGTATATATCCTGAACTTTGATTTAGGGTGAATACAGGAGTAAATACTAATTTAAACTACAAGTAATCTCAGATTTTCAGTAACCCCTGGCAGGATTTTCACCAGCATTTCATTGCTGACAATGAAGTGTCTTACAACTTTATATTAAAAAATAAATATATGTAGTTATGAAAAATGCGATGTTTGAAATTTTGGTATAAGTACACAATGAGCGGTTTTGTTTCTAAAATAACTTAAAAACCATCAGATTTTAGTTTTAGGGGACACATTAATAGTAATGGATCTTTCTATTATCATGTGTTCACAAATGTTTTGTTTTTAATGTTTGTAATAATTCCCAAATTGTTTAAGTAGCTAATAATACCCACATAGAAATCTACCCAAGAAATATTTTAATATTATTAAAAGGTTCATACGTTAGGGATATGTTGTTCTGATATTAGAAACTGGAACAGAAAAAAATACAGGAATGGAGGATCATGATTGAGAACACAGACCTTTGTAAAAATGGGTGCACAGCAGCCTGGCTTGGATCCATCTAGACGGTATAGACATGAAGTAGGACTTTGGACCTAGAAAACAAGGCTGGAATTGCTTGAAATGCTAAAGACACTAGTATTTGCAAAGTTTCAATAAGTTATTATCAACACAAATCTATCCATCTGATGCAGTTTCTTAAGTACGTAGCTCTGCTATGGTGTTCTCATTATAGTACACTCAGTCTGTGACCTCATGATTTCACATCTGTTATACTTCTGAAATGGAAATGCAAGATTTAAAGACTTCTATGCACCCCTGGGGAACAGTGCACCCAACTGTCATTATCTTAATAGGCTTTGTCTGTTTGATTCCTGTGAATATCTTTAAAATATCTCTCGAACACTAAGTACTTTTACATCTCTGGATATATACCATACAATGTCGGAGGAGTTCAACAATGGAAAATTTTTAAAGATCAGATTAGATGAACACGTGTCTGGAATAGTTTAAGACAGGGACAATCCTGTTTTAGGCAGGGGCTTGTACTATATGGCCTCCGGAGGTCCTTCCTAGCTCTACTTTTCTACAATTTTCTGGAACAAAACTATGGACAGAAGTTTGAATTAGTTTAACCAACCAAAGGAGAAAAGATAAATAATTTCAATTATAGTAATATTGAGGGGAAAAAGGGATTTTCTACAGCCTAACATGAATTATATATATAGAAAAAGATACTTTGCAACTTTTGCAAGACTAATTTGCAATATGTGATGCACAAGATAGCACACTAACTGTCCTTGAACTACATACCAAAACCATAATGGAGTAATTTAAATTAATCACAGATATAAAGATTGAAGACTTGTTTGTTATTCAATATTTCTATTATAAACCATGTGCGCCTGAAGTTTTCTTACATGCATTCGTTTTACACTCTTTTGGTACTATCCACTAGTCATATTAGCATGATGTCCTGTGTAATTTTTATTATATTACCAGTATTCTCACATCCTTAGATACCATGCTAATGAACTTCGCAAAAGCAGCTATGTAGAACAAAACATCTGTTGATGTGATAAGACCCAAACTGAATGGGCTATAAAAGTAAATAGTATTATAACACACTTTTTATATATTTATATGTCTTCATATGGTAACAAAATGTTAAGCTTTTAAGTTGAATTATGCAAAAAATGACCCTCATCTCTTAGCAGTATTGAACTCTTGAGATGCAAGTTTAGCAAATTTTATTGACTGAACAGCATGATGTCTGATTACCTGCTGACTGGGCACAGAAATAGGCTGAATTACAGCTGTGGTGACTCCAGCCTTTGGAGCAGAAGATCCTATTGTTAAGGAAACAGAAGTAGTTTTCTTCTGAGCCCTGGACAAATGGGAGAAGCAAGCACTTTACTAGATTTTATATCAGTGACATTGAACATGGTGTATTACAAGCAACAAACTCAAAACCTAAATAGAATAGAGCTAAACCAAAGAGAATGATCCGATATTTTCTCTCTTCACTCCTCCCACGCTCCCATTGCTTTCCCTCTTGTCCTCTGTCTATCCTGTAGTCATTACCCTCTTTTTCTGTAAGTGGTCCTTTTTCTTCAGTGCAGTTAGAGCAAGTGTTGACAACCTTTTGCAGCTGTGGGCAACTGCTTGGGACCCAGGTTCTGCCACAGGTTACACCACTGTAGCCTCTCGGTAACCAGCAAATCCCATGAAGGGAGCAAATAGAAGAAGCAGGCACTAGGACTCTGGAGATGCCTCTTCTGTTGCAACAGCAAAAATAAACAATATGGTAGGCGAAAGGACCCTGGGGATGCCTCCTCTGCTGCTTAGGCTAGAGCATGCTGCTAATTCCCTGAGCAGACAGTCAGGATCCAGTCTCTTCACAGGCTGACCTATGAGCTATAGGTTGCCAACCCCTGACTTAAAGCGAACATGACTAAGCAGGAGGAGTTTGGATATTAATGAAGTCCACATTTACAACCTTGTTCATTCTCTTTGCATCACAAACGAAGGAGATTAGACAGAAACAGGGCATGCAGTACAGAGGCTGCTCTTGTGATAAAGTTTGAGTGAGATTATTTTCATGACATATTCAAAAAATAATTATCTGAGCATCAGAAGTAGAAGATATTGATTTTTTCTTGCTTTCTAAAGTACCCTGTGAATTATAACCTTTAAATTGGGAAAAAAATATTTTTAATTTTTCCCAATTGAAAAACGTGAGTTTTTTTTTTTATAGATGAGTTAAACAAGGATGTATGCCACTTGTTAATACAACTTTCAATATTCCTCTTCTTCTGCCCCATCCCCACAAATACTTCAACAACTGAGAGGTAAAGAAAGATACTGGAATCAGGCAGGCAAGGAGCAGCACTTCGCTTGGGGTAAATTGATAAATTTATTTTAATTTAATTTTTATTTTTAAAATATTACCCTTCTGAATTTCAATATGGCAAAATTCAGAATGGAGCTGTTTCATGGGGACATTTAAACTACCTTCATCCCCAAATGCTTATTGAAATCCAGTGTGACAAATAGATTTTTTCCCGCATTATAATTCTGGCTTTGTTCAATTACTAGGAAATTTACCCCTAAGAATTACCAGGAAATTTACCCCTTCCTCAGATATGAATATGATATTAATACATTATCATTTTTTCATCCATATTAAATCTTTCTTTCATAGACATTTGATTTTCTTTTCCTATAAGGCTTTCGGTGAGTAGTTAGTCTGGATGTCTGTGTTTTATGCAAGTGTTTTAATCCAATCTGTGTTTTAAACCAGTGTCCATTAGATTAAATTTATTTTCTATTTGGTTAGCTTTCATCCTACAATAAAACCAGCACGTAAACAAGTATTAATGTCAAAGTCCAGTTTGGTACTTTTTATAATCTGATCACTGATTAACATTGGTTAGCTGCTTTTGTTAGAGTAAGATCAGTGAAGACGGAGCATAACTTTTTTGCTATCATTCTTACATAGCTCCTTAGCAAACACGTATATCATTTGTGTTACTTTGCACTTACTGTGGCATAGCTCCAGATTTTGATTTGAAAACTGAATTTTCACTCTCAGAATCGGTTGAGCTGGCACCTAGAAAAGAAAGCATATTCAAAGCCTTTAATAACTCTTCTCTGACCTATACTATGCTTAACTTCAAAAAACAAATATGCTATTGCTTTGGAATTATAAAGCATTACTGTGAATAGACTTGTAGTATACAGCATAAATAAAATAATTTCAACTCAGAGTTGAGATTTTTTTTCCTGAGAAATACCTTAGCTTTTCTTAACGCAATATGTCCTCAGAACTATGAACTTTATGCAGTATAGGAACCAAAACCGTGTAGGTACACATTATCAGATTATTTATTTCTTTGGCTATTGTCTTTCCTGGGTTTTTAGCTGTATTAATACAAATTAGGCTAAAGTTGTAGGTGCCTAGATAAACATTTAAAAAATCTATTTTCTTTACAAAAAGAAGAATTAGTGTGGCATGTTCATTTTTGATTGCTCTAACTTTAGGAAATATAATTAGAATGAATTTGCTACAACTGAATTAATAATTTTAAGAAGCATATTTTTCAAAACAAGGGAGCCTGTGAATAAAGAACTCCAGTATACCAGGAGTGGCTTGTAGAGAGTGGCCATGTCTATGTGAGACGCTCACTGTGCAGTAGCCCAATACTACTGCGCAGTAGTGTAGCGTGGCAAAAACTATGATGTGATGCTACTGCGCAGTAGTAGTAGGCTACTGTGCAGTAGCATCACATAAAAGTGTTCAGCGGTGTTACTGTGCAGTAACTTGGGTTACTGATCAATCATTTAGTACATGTTTATATAAGTACTTTAGAAAAAACAAGTGCTAAATGACTGCACAGTAACAAATGCACAGTCAGTGTCTCATGTAGACGCAACCAGTGAGTGTTAAAATAAGAGTGGAGAGAAAAAGATGTTAAACGGATAAGATACACAGGGTAGTTGAGTATGAACAAGGATTTTTTCAGACAGCATTAAATCTGAGTATCCTAAACAATATTATAAAAAAATACAGTTTTCAAAAAGTGTTTCAGAAGTCAACTTATTTTAAGATTCCCTATGTATCAGTAGATTATGGAATTATAAATTGATCATAATGCCTAGTTATGTCACCTTATTTCTGAACCTGTCATTCATTTCCCAGTTCATTAAGTAAGGTGCTCCACTAATAAGCAACAACAGATTTGTAATGACAATTGACAATGATATCATATGTCAATATCCAGATACTTGCTCATACTTGCTACAAAGTGGCAGACAGATTTATCCTTGTGTCTACTGCTGAACAGGAGTGGATTATACATTTACAGCTAAACTTTAACCTTAACTACAACTGTGGATAGCATAATATTTGCATGATAAACTGGCCACATTCTTCAGAGTTATACAAGCTCACTCAGGGCAGATGGTGGGGGGCAAAGTGATATACTAACCACTGTACAACAGTGGGGTAGAGGGGAAGGGAAGTCTTACCTACCTGGGCTCTCTGCAAACCAAAGGCAGCTGCTACTGCTATTGCTACTGCTACTGTAGCCAACACTGGCTTCCCTGTGCAGAGAGCCCAGGCAGCAGCAGCAGACACATAGCAACCATACGGACAGATTCCCTGGGAGCCGTCCCTGGATCCCCATTTGCTCTCCCCCTCCCCAGATATGCTACTAGGGTCAGGGCTGCACCTGCTGGGAAAAAAAAAAATCCCTGGAAGTTGGGGAGCACCAATCCACTCACCCCCCTCTCCCTGCCCCCCCCCCCCCTCCCCCCCCGGGGGGGGGTTCCGATGCATAGGCAGAGGCAGCACAGGGCTGCACTACTGTGTACAAACTCCTGGTGTGGAGGGGGGATTGTGGCACTCACTCACAGTCAGTGCCTGGGGCTACTGCCCTGCTTGTCCCACCCTAGTTACACTATTGCCATTCTTACCCACAGTTCAGAGGTAGGACTGAATTATACCTATTTCCAAACTGCAAACTGATACTGCAGAGCCTTTGAGAACGACATACTGTAATTCCCATTTACTTCCCATTTCTCATCTTCATGAATGACATACATAATGCTGCAAACATAGCAACTAGGGATTTTGTTCTTCTTTTAAACTTAACTTTGAAAGGAACTGAATCACTTTTCAAATTTTGATCCGTAGTTCTGGTAAGTTTTTTATTTGTCATTTACCATACTCAAAATTAAAACCAGCATGTTCATTGTGAGCAAATATTTTAACACTAGCGAACTGCCCGTCAAGAATGACGGGAGAGGGAGTGGGGGGGAGGGAGCTTGCTAACCCTAACCCCCACCCCTCTGCCACTGCCTCCCAGGAGCAGTGGGGGAAGTTTGCCCCGCCATGCCCTGCATCAGCACCCTGTGCCACGGCTGTCTCCAAGGAACAGGGACAGCGGCGGGGGGGGGGGGGGGGGGGGAGGATGTGGGGGGGGGGGGGGGAGGTACATTGGTTGTTTCAGTAACCAATCAGAGTGCTCCAAGAGCGTTATGGACAGAGGGACAGACGGACTAAGCCCTTTATTATATTAGAATAATCTGTACAGATGGAAAAATCTTGAACTTGCTAAAATCTTTTTTTCACATCATTGTCTTTGACTTTATTAACAGCACCTAGTACTTCATTGGAAAAATATTCAACTTAGAGGGTGCGTCTACACATGCATTAAAGCGCTTTTCCTAATACGCATTAAATTTAGTGCCTCCAGTGTGAGGTAGTATGCATTAAGCTGCCTTAATGCGCAGTAATAAATGTACATGGTTAAGTAATACTTAATGCACAGTAGCCTATTTTACTGCTTATTGGATGCATCTATATGTGCAATTAATGTGACTGAATAAACTCCAGTGCACTATAAACCAGAGTAAACTAATCCCAGTGTCATTATCTACATGTGCATTTATGCATAGTAATTTACTCTGTAGTAATTTACAGCTAGTACCTGTGTCTGACAAGACTACAATGGTAGTGTAAATTAGTTTATACTAGCCCAGTTGCTGCACATGTGTGGACAGTGATGCTTTACTCTGCAGTTAATTAGTCTACTGTGCAGTAATGTACATATGTAGACATGCCCATTCTGTACCTGAAAGGGAAAGCATTAACATAAATATAAGCAATAAATTGCTAGCAAAGCACATACAGACTATTTTCTTTTTAAAAAAACATTGATTTAAGCAGGGGTCAGCAAAATACAGTCCATGGAGCCACTGGATCTGGCTCTCAGAACTGAAGGGCTTTGCCTTTGCCCACACCCATGCCACAGCTGGGAAGGGAGGAGCTGTGCTGGGGCCAGGCAGCTGTATCAACACCACTGCTATTTTTCCCTGCCCTCCCAGCTCTGCTCTAACATGGTACCACATCCAAATAGTTACAAGGCAACTTTCACAAGCTTTGCAAAAATCCCATTAAGTTAACAAAATTCTGCATGGTGATAAGAATCCTGTACTCAGATCTCAGGACATAATCAATACAGATCTAACAGCAGCATTGACTATGAATTTATGGAGAAGATAAAGGATTTTCCTTTGTATTTAAGTGCCCAAAAGAGCACTGAAACTACAAGACATACACAATAATAAATGTTATTTGGGAATACATACTGAATATACATTTCAGCTACAATTTACTAGTGGAAACTAGATTTTCTGTTGGACCTGTTAGAGCTACCTGTTCAAGTATATTAGTGTGCTGATATCCAAACAGATTTGTTATATTTATTTGTTTTTATATATTCAGCAGACACTTGAAACTGCCAAAGGAGCAAATTTCTCCACAAATGGCTATGAAAAAGTTGTTTAATTCAAGGAAAAAAATATCATTTAATTAACATAATAACTGCTTACATTAGGCTACTGTTAAAACAGCCTTTGAATGATTTGCTATAGTCAATATATTAAAAATTGTAGTTTGTGAATCTGGTACATGACCTCTGGGCGATTTTAAATTCAAACAAAAATGAGAACACTGGCATTTGATTCCAGTCCTGATCATATTTTAATCTTCCATAAAGCCTTTACAAGAATAAATATCAGAATCTGGCCTAATTTATAACAAAGTAATTAGCGACTATATAAATTATCATGTTTGCTTGATGTTGAATATTAAGTCCTTAATTTCACAAACTACTACTCTTTGTTGTCTTCACACTCATCCAAACTACTCCTCTGTTGTCTTCATACTCATCATATCTATCACTAACACACTCATTCCTTCTTCACTGACAGTTGTTATTTCTTTTCTTTCTAGGTGATAAATCACTTCAATTGTTTATATTTTAAACTACACTGAGAGAATGGGCAGGGCTGAAAGAGGAAACATTTTTTGCTGGAAAGTGGTAACAGCTGCCATCACCTGTGGAAAGAAGAGGCTGAAGACTCTGGGCCTGAGGATTAGATGTCAGAGGTCCATGCATTCCTTATTTTTCTTTACCAATTTTCTTTTAACAAAATCAATAGGCTTCTGCTCATCCTTGAAATACCTGAATTAATGGAACATGACATTCAAAAGCTATTGTGATACAAAGAGAGTTGAGTGGGTGTCAAAAATCCTGAAGTATCAAACTAATGCAGCATAATTCAAAATCAGTTTCATTTTTATGTATTTATATTTTCTGTATGTTGTGTGTATTTATTTCATCCTTATCTCTTCCCCTTCCTTTTTTACCTTCAATGAATACTTCAGCTGACGTACTATCAGAGCCAATGGAATTTGAGGCCAGACAAGTGTAACGTCCAGTATCGTCCTCAAAGGCTTCTGCTATGATGAGTGAATGAAGGCCTCCACTTTCAGAACGGATCTGAATATCAGGAGTATTCTGGAGTTCTTTTCCTTCACAGAACCATCTGCATAAAACCAAAAAACATTAAATGGATTCATATCTATCACTAACAAAAAAGCATGGAATTTTGCTGCAAAATCAAAACACATTAAAAAAAAAACATGGTACAGTACATGTTTACACATTTTATGAGACTTGTTTGTATATAAGCTGTTTGACCAACAAGCAGCATGACACCCAAGAATGATCATTAAATGTATGTACCTATGACAAACTGTTAATAATTTTCTATATTTCTCTTCTGGTACCATTAGCATTTCATATAGTTTGTATATAGTAACCTGTATTAACAACTTTTAATCTTCTACTTCTATGTCTCAGGCAGCATATGGAGCAAGTACTACAGGTCCTCTCTCTAGAACATTTGATTTTTGTTTTCAATTTTGCCATCAACAAGGCAAATAGTGTTATTCTTCCCATGTGACTAATGTCTAAGGGTATATAAGCCTGCCTCAGATCAGTGACTGCTTGAAACCTTACCAACTACATTTTTATATAATTTCTATTAAGATTTTTACTAGCAAGAGCACACGGCTCTGGGAGTTCCAATTCTGACATGAAGGGTGCATTTCATTCTTACTGGGCACACCTACACAAGATGCTGACTGCACAGTAGCTGAATAATACTGCGCAGTAGCATGCCACAGCATGGACAATCCTAATATGCTACTGCGCAGTATTATTAGGCTACTGCATAGTAACTCCGGTTACTGCACATTTATTTAGTACTTGTATAAGTAGTACTTGTATAAGTACTAAATAAATGTGCAGTAACTTGTATAAGTACTAAATAAATATGCAGTAACCACTATGCAAAAGCATCTCATGTAGATGCACCCGATGTTAACACTGTCTTTTCCTAAACCAGCCAAAAGTCTGGTGTGCCACACTCCAAGCTGAATTGTATACTGATACCACTGCTTGCTCTCTCCCCCAGACTAATTATTTTTCCTTATATAAACAACTATATGAATTAAGTGAAATCCTGATTTCCTTTTAATTAAGAGACAAAAATGCAGGGGATTTGCCACTTTAGACTAACACAAGGTTCAAATACCTTTGACAATACTGTCCTGTTAGTCCTTAACCACTTCTTAGGGATATTTTACAATTCTAATCTTCCACTAAATGCCTCATTCTTAAACTTGTTTTGCTCAGCTGGCATATTGTCCTGAATACAAAAACACGACAAACCACATCTGTTGCTTTTCAAAACATGTGACACAGGCTTAGAACACTGACCATTCCTATTTAAAAAGGGTACATGATGCTTTGTAGTAACAGATGTCAAATCAGGAATCTCTACAAACATACTAATTGGTTCCTATCTCATTCTAACCAAATTGATAGAATAACTTTAAGTTTCCCTTTAATCTACAATTAGTGAAAGTGGAAAACTGAAAATGCCTCTAAAATATGGAATCTGTATGAAAAAACATGTATTTGTACTTTAAACTCTAAAGTAAGAATGGTCATTTTGCTGTTCAAGTCCAACAGATTTACACATGAAGCAACACCCATGACTTCTAATAAGAACTGTGCATACAAGTCTCCCAGGCAGCTGAAGAATAGGCCCAAAGTTCCTCAAGGCTAGGATAATGGAACTAAAGCCCTATACCATTCAAATTTATAATTAAAGAACAACAAGGTCCTTTTGTGTATCCTATTGTGCCCAGAGGTCTACATACAAAGTATCACTTCTGCAAGGAACTAATAAACTTCCTTTTGTTTACTCAATAGCCCCATTTGACCTACTTTTACAACTATTGGGCTTGAAGACAAATTCATTCTTTCAGCCCAGCTGCCAATATTAATATTTTTGTTCCCCCTCAGTCTCTCCCCTAATCTATGTGAGGAACATGGAATATTACTTCTACCAATTAGCCTTCCAGAACCACAGACTTTGTGGTTATAAACAGATGTTGCATTTGTCCCAGAAGAAACCATTTTCTCCTGGGACAAAGTGTGATCTTTCAGACATTCCTGTCTATTGTCCCGGGATAAACCCTAAAAAGGTTCATAGGATAAGAGGTGTTAACAGCTTGTCCTAGGATATCCCCAATTGTGTCTGAACATCTTTCCCGGAATTGAATCTCCAGCAGAAAAGCAGCAGTGCATTTAGTCACTCACTAAACCATGACTGGAAGGGCAATGTATGTAGATGTCAATCCCTGGACTTTTCTGTTTCAGGACAACTATAGGCACTACTTGTCTCAGGATAAACGTAATGTCTGTTCCTAGTCTGTGTGGCCCTTTCTGTAGGCTATGAATTTGGGCATGTGCATGAAGAAGATGCTGCCCTAAAATATCTGAATTGACAAGTGTAACAAAGATCCTATACGATAGGAAACAGGAAACCTAACTAGCCACTCATCCCCCATGCTTTTCTTCTTTACAGAAACAGCCTTTAAGGGAAAACCCAGCCTAATTCCATTAATGGATTTGTTTTATTTAGTCTACAGAAGAGATGACTAAGGGGAGACATAATAGTCTCCATGACATATTGATATAAAGGCAAATGGTGATCATTCTTTATGGCCACTGGGGAAAGAAATCAACTTAAAAGCAAAAAAGACCAGTTGAAAATTAGGAAAAACCTACTAATTGTTAGGATGGTGAAACAACTGAACAAGTTACATAGGGAAGTTATGAAACCTTGTTCACTTGAAGGTTTATGAACAGGTTAGACAAAGAACTGTTGGGAATGGTCTAAGTATACTTGATCATGTTTCAATGAATGATTTGAATTAAATCATCTCTTGAACTTGCTTTCAGCCCTACATTTTTAGGACTCTAATTGCTTTCTTATATTGGGTCCTGTTTTAGACTTATAAAAGTCCTTATTGCCTCCCAAGCACCTTCTGCCCTAAATATTTATGTTACTATGTTTTCTATGGTTATTGAAATTAATAAAAATATGTTGCTAATACAATTTGTACCTGTTAGATTTATCAGATGATGTTTAACTAAACACTACTTTTTCCCTTAGGAGGATCAGTTTTATTTTCTTCGCTGGATGTATGGAATATGTATGTGGCTAACACCCAGTAAAGGCTACTGTGAGTAAAATCCTTATGTATCTTGTGACCTTTTGTTAAAATTGTGAATCACTGCACATACGTTAATCAAAGACTCGGTATTGGAAAGAAGTTCACAAACCTCAAACTGATACATGAGATGCTGTCTCTCTTCAGTAGATAATGTTATAAGAGGAAAACATATTAAATAAGCAATTAACTACAAAATTACCTCAACCACACTTAATGGAATGTATGATAGACAGGATACAGGCCTGATTTTTTACTGCATTTGTAACTGTATTAAGAATAGCTCATTTCCCCATTTCTGATTTCTGTAACCTGGATCATTTATATATTTTTTGAAATAGATTTAGTTGAATTTGCTGTGCATGTTTATTTCATTGCATCTTTCTTTGTTTGTCTAGGTTTTATGGCAGGAAGTTCAGGGCATTTAGTGTGAATTCCCCAGGGAAGAGGTGAAGGTTAGGTCTCTTGAGTTGAATGCCTGACTGAAATATTTATTTTCCTTGCAATGAACTTGCTAGTTGCCAGTTGAGCTCACATGAAACAGCCCTAGCGTAATGGATCCATTAGTTCTCCAAAAGTATGGAAAAGGTGTTTTGCAGCTTATAAAACTGGATGAAGTGTTAATACATGCCAACACTCAGGGATGGAATTTAAGTTTATGCTTTTATATTGGACAGGCTATTCTAGGAGCAGTAAGTACTATCAATAGATCTGGTAACACTGGGCACCTATTCATGCAACGGAGCTCTGCTCCAATGCACATTAGAACATGTTGGAACAGACTCGATTAATCGAGTCTGCTGGAGTGTACTCATTAGCAGGGTCCCGCAGCCTCTGCATCACGCATGTTCACTGGCCCCGAATTTCAAAATGGCAATAGGGACGCTTTAACTAAAGCTCATTGAATTAGCTTTAGTTAAAGCACACACTCTCAGAGCCACTCTAATTAAAGTACCACCCCTCCCCCTCCACCCCAGGGAGCACCTGTATAGACGCCCATAGGAGCTTTACTGTCCCAAATTCTATTTGGCCTGGAGAGGTTAAAATGGAAGGAGCTTCTGTTCAAGTGACCCTAATGACTGCCAAGAGAAGGAAACGAGCCCTTGTGCTATCATTTTTTTTGTGTGTGTGAAGGACCATGGGAATGAGCTTCATACGACTACCACATGGTTTATGGCTCTATGAGATTAGTGAGGTCATGGTCCAACAGAAAAGGCCAGCTACATGAAACTTTCAGGAAAATTCCTCTCCAAGTTTTTTCTAGCTGCTAGAGGTCGGCATTGACTCCTGTACAGTCTATTCCATGCTGTCTCCTCCCATGGGGGAGGGGGATTATGACCCAGGTGTGGATGGAAAGGCAATGGCAATATTGTACCTGGGGGAGCTATTTACCAGAAGAGTAGCATGGAGGTAGTGGCTCCCTGAGGAGATGTTCTGAGTGCCACAGGATTTCTCTATGGGTACAAAATATAACTGTGTTCAGTACTTCACAGATTCCAAGCACTGTATAAACATTAACTAATCAGCCTTTATTTCAGCCCTTTGTTGTGGGTTTATATAATCTCAAATATTAAGACAAAAAATAAATGGAAGCAGAAAATCAAAATAGTTTGCTTTAAGACAACATAATGAATAAGTGCAGTTCTGTGATCAGAACACAGAAATTCAGCCCCTGCACAGCCACTCCATCCATGGCCTGATTTTTCACCCCAGTTCACCCCGTCCATATTCTTGCATCACCCACCACAGCCCATCTGTAGCACACAAGCTGAGACTCAATTCTCTACAAAGATTCATGGGTTCTTGCTCCTTCCGCAGAACTGCAAATATTCTATTTGTATCAATAAGAACTTGGCACAAAAACAAAAAAAATGAACCATGCTGAGAACTTTCCCACTTCTGTTTCTTCTCTATATTTTGTTTTCCTAGACTTTTACCTATTTTTCTCTCTTTTTAG